TGTCATGATCCACCGCAAATCCCAATTAAGTGGCCCTCCAGGGCCCTCCAGGAGCCTCCAGGGGCCTCCAGGGGCCTCAGGGGCTTCCAGGCGCCTCTGAAAAGGCTGCCAGAACCCCAAAACCCGCACGAACGTCGTTTTGAACGAAAAATGCGGCCTGATTTCATGCGGGATGGTCAGGCTGGACTAGGCCACCCACCATGGCAGGGGGGGGGGGGTGGCCAGTGTCTGCAAGAGGGAGTAGAGGGGGTTTTTAAAGGGATCTGAACGCCCTGAGGCTGGATGCCCCGGCGAATGTTGTTGTTGTTCTTATGATTGCTAGTGTGATATTATGGCTATTGGTATTAGGAACGTGTTGCCTAGCTGCAGCTGCAGGTGCAGCAGGGGAATACCGAATTCACGATCAAGCCAGGTGCTTAACCTTTCAGGTTCGATCACTCAACTGGTTGACTGAAGCTGATCCTGCAGTGACTTCTGGAACAGCACTTTGCAGTCATTCGAAAATTGCCTGGGCTTGCAACGTAGCACCTCGTTTACGTGCAGTACGCACAAGCAGCAGCTCTCATGACCAGTAAGCACATACCAGATTCCTGGTATCCACTGAACTTCTATCCTAATATACCCCCCAATATATCCCTAATATGACCCCAGCATAACCTTAATATTACCCCAGTATAATCCCAAAATTACTCCAGCATGCTACAGAAGCTTCCCAGGTTGGGAGCCACGTTTCCCAACTTCGACTGGCACGCCACATCGAAGGGTATCAGCCGCTTCCACCAACTGCTGGATCGCACGAAGGCTACAGCCTTTGGGCACGGGTAGCAGGGGTTAGATTGGGATAATGGAAAAGAAAATGGACACTACTATGTAGTATATTGGGGTTATCTTGAGATAATGGCAAAGAAAATGGAAACTACTATTTCGTACATTGGGGGTTATGTTGGGATAATGGAAAAGAAAATGGGAACCACTAGACCCTAAACCCTGAACCCTAAACCCTAAATTTAGGGAGGAGGCAAGGTTTGGTTAAATGATGAACCTCTAACCGCAAACGCATTGTAAGGAAGTGAAATGCCTGTCCTTAACCGCTTGGTTTAGGGTTTAGGGTTTAAGGTTCAGGGTCTAGGGTTTACTGTTTAGGGGTTCCTGAATGATATCCGAAATGACCCCTAGTCTGCACACGAGTTCCCGCTTGCGGTGGTCAGCCAGGAACTTAAACATGTCATCGGTGCGGGGCCACCGACAAAAACTTGCCGAAACATGCTTAGAGTCCTTTGCTGTTTGGCGGCATCTGAAGCATCATCCCTAAACCTTAAACCCTAAATCCTAAGCATCCTGAATCCTGCAGGGCGCCCTGATACTCTTGACTCTTGGCATGGCATCAGTATGGGAGTGAAGGTTCCTTGCGATCCCCCCCATGGCAAAGCTGTGAATGGAGAAGTTGGCATGTTTATGGGCAGGCTCATTTCGGGTGGCTTCACTGTTGACAGAACCCCAATATATCCCCAAATAACAGTACAACCTTGATATTACCCCAATGGGTCTATGCGCCTTGGAGCCAGCTTGTAATTTGTTTGCCCAAGCCTGCCAAGTATCTGCTGGCCGCGGAATTTCGATGCGGTGGCCACGACAGAGCTCATGGCATGCCTGCAGGCACCTTGCATGTAGCAGGGTGTATGTAGGGATAGCGGAAAAGAACATGGAAACTGTTTTACTATCATAGGGTATATATGGTTATATTATATTTGGGTTATGTTGGGGTAATATTGGGGTCAGTAGCCGTGCCGGATAGCTTTGAGAACAGACTATGAACAGCCGGTGCTGAGACAAGAAAGGAGTCGTTTGATGCATGAAGCGTGCTACTGACAGCCCGTCCTTGCAGATGGGAGCTGATCTCAAGAAGCGTGACGTGGCATTGCTCCCTGGTTCGCATCGAGTCTATGCAAATGGTGCTTCACCCATTCCTCGCCAACCCCAGGCCCAATCAGGTTCAGTCAGGTAGACACAGTGATGTAGTTCTTGAGACAGGAGCATGTGAATGACAGATCCTCAGGATTGGGATGACGTGCGATACGGTGGAGGCAAGTTCATAGCTGGGGCTTCTTGACTTCCTGATGCCTCTCAACGAAGGTCCAGACTGGCTTGACCTCCCAACTGAGCAGCCTTACCTCCACATTTCTGCTAGAACCTGCCAGAAGGACCAGAAGAGCTGGGTGGAGGACTGCATTGCGCTAGTGGGCCATCATGCTGGCGCTGAGTACCCGACGTTGATTCCAGTCACTGGCCTGCATTTGTTACTGAGCTGGTGATCTTTTCTAGGCCGACGCTGACAGTCGAAAAGGGCCTGAAGAGATGACACCTAATTTACATGGTGGCAGGTGTTGCTTCGAATAGGTTGGCTAGATTTCATTAGGTGCAACCTGTTGCAGCCGGTCTTGGCCATGTGGATCCCACAGTCTCAAAAAGCCAAGTGGGGATTGGTCTAAATTCC